AGGGAGTAAACCGCAGGAAGTAAAGTACAGGTTGTGTAGTATAGTACGAGTAAATTATAGGTTGTAAAATACAGGGAGTAAACCACAAGAAGTAAAGTGCAGGTTGTGTAGTACAGTACAGGGAGTAAAGTGTAGGTTTTAAAGTACAGGGAGTAAACCACGGGAAGTAAAGTACAGGCTGTGTAGTACAGTACAAGGAGTAAATTATAGGTTGTAAAGTACAGGGATTAAACCGCAGGAAGTAAAGTACAAGTTGTGTAGTACAGTACACAGAGTAAAATACAGGGAGTAAAGTATAGGTTGTAAAGTACAGAGATTAAACCGCAGGAAGTAAAGTACAAGTTGTGTAGTACAGTACACAGAGTAAAATACAGGGAGTAAAGTATAGGTTGTAAAGTACAGGTAGCAAACCACAGGAAGTAAAGTACAGGTTGTGTAGTATAGTACAGGAAGTAAAGTATAATGAAGTGGGCCGGATTGAAGCCCGGCCCGCTGGTCACCAGTTGAATGGCCTGTTCTATACTGTAACTTAGAACCCACTTTTATTTTATTTATTTTTTTTTGGATTTGCCATACCCTGGTTGAGTTGGAATCTACACCAGCACTTAGGAAATAATATACAGGAAGTTAACTACTGGGAGTAAACTACAAGAAGTGGACTACAGGAAGTAAAGTACAGGAAGTAAACTGCAGGAAGCAAACATCGTCTGTGTTTCTGTTTCTGTTTCTTCAGCAGCAGTTTGGCTTCCAGGATGAAGAGGAGCGCTCCCTCAACTCCCTCGATGATAATCCAGCCTTCCCTCGCTCCAGATCCCAGGAAAACTCTGTGGACCGGGACCGGCAGCTCCTCCAGGACCTGGTCTCCCTGTACCTCGCTACTCCTTCATCGTCCTCCTCTTCCTCACAGTCTCTGTCTCGCCACAGAGGGGCGGGGACCTCAGGCCTCCCCTCTTCCTCCTCCTTGTTCCAGGAGCTGGACTTCCCCCTGGACTACGACGAGGACCACGTTTCCCAGGTCAGCCAGCTCCAGAAGCAGCCGTCGCAGAAGAAGAAGACGCAGCCGGAGTACAACTTCCTGTCGGGGATGGACGGTAAATAATAAGGGACAAATGGAGATATTAGTGATTTTTTTAAAAATGTTTTTATAGATTATTTATTTGTTTCTTTGTTTCTTTCGTTGTCGTAGTCACATTTTTTTTTGCAGTTTGTATTCGATTAATTTTGTTTATTATTTTGTTACATATTTGTGTTTCTAATTTTTATTTTTGTGATTTTAACGTCATTTTTGATGCTCTTTCTAAAAAAAACATTTGTAAATCCTATATATTTTTTTGCCCTTATATGATACGTTTTGATGAAGTCATAAGAATTTGTCATTTTTGGTCAAAGCTTATCTCTGTTTATTTGTTTAATGTTAGTTTATTCATAATTAAGTTCATTCAGAATTAACACCTTTCTTGTTTTTGTGTTTCGAATGGAAGTTTATGGTCTTTAAGGGACATTTATTCATCCTCCGTTTCTGCATTTTGTTTTGGGACAAAGTTAACAGTGAGAGAAATGGTTGAAAACTCAGGACGTATTTCTTTTAGCTTCTCGTGTCAAATCACATCCTGGATTGAAGAGTCTGGTCTGCAAGCGTTGTGTTTTTATTTAAATCTTTACATTTTTAGAGCGCTCTCTGCAGAGGCTGGCTCTGCTGCTCGACCACTACAACCTGGACATAAAGAACCTGACCCCGGAGCAGGACGACCTGCCGGCGGCTCTGAAGGATCTCCAGCTGAAGGACTCCTACGACCCCGAACAGACCAAAGGTTTCACCAACAACCAGCAGTTTTTACGTACTCTATGTACAGAACTCACGATCACATATTACGTAGCTTGTCAAAATCACTTGAACGTATATATTAATCATTTTGGTTTGATTTATTCATAAGAAAAATATGGGGAGAACACAGCCACAACGAAGAAGGTAAGGATGTCTCTGTTTCTTTAAATAGTGGTTTAAATGTTACTTTCATGAAGTCTGAATTGTATTGTCTGGTTCAAGCTTTAAAACGTCTGAGTAAAGTTTACTGTATAAAGTCTAAGTTCAAGTTTCATATAGTCGGGGTCAAGATTTAAAAAAGGGAGAGTTTGAGTTCAGGTTTTATATAGATTAAATTCAGGTTTAATGTACCGTAATTTCCAGACTATAAGCCACTACTTTTTTCACATGCTTTGAAGACCGTGGATTATCTAATGCCGCAGCTAATTTATGTATTTAAAATAATAATAATAATAATTATCAGCCGTGGTACAGGCTCTTAGCCACCTGCAAGCGTTCTTGGCCACGCCCACTTCTCCGCTCTGCACGGAGAACAGCTGATCTGCTGCAGGAGGAAATGCACAAAGATGCAGCAGGTGCTAAATAATTTAAAATAATTAATTTTAAATAAAAAAACTCCGTGCCGATCGTGCGGCTCATCCATCAGTCAGCCAATTGTGTGTCATGTCCAATCTTATTTTGAAAAACCACGATAGAGCGAGTTTGCGATAAACGAACCGCGAAGTAGTGAGGGACTACTGTATATCATGTTACAACGTGGATACCCGCGGATTATAGACAAGCGCGGCCTATTTATGTACAAATTATTATTATTTTTAATTTAGTGGACGCTGCTTATATTCAGGTGCACTCATTAGTCTGGAAATTACAGTAGTCTGAGGTCAAGTTTAATATAGCCTGATTGCAGGTTTTATAAAGTCTGTGTTTAGTTTTTAGAAAATCGGAGTTCTTGTTTAACATTCTTAGTTCAGGTTTGACAAAGTCTGAGTTCAGGTTTTCTGTTGTCCGATTTCTTGTTTAATATAGTCTGAGTTCAAGTTTAACTAAACAATCCACCGACAGCAGATTCTGAATCAGCAGATCAGCGTCTCGGTCTCTCCTGGTCAGGTCACCGAGGGTTCAATGGCCTACAAGACCGTCCTCCAGGAGGCTCCGCCTCCCACCACCAAACTGGACGGAGAGCCGAAAGAGGCAGTGGATCAGGACAGAGTGGACCAGACGGAGTTTGGATACATTGTCACCAATCAAAGGTACAGCAGGTTTCACTTCCTGATTCATCGACCAATCAGGACTTGTCTCGTTTCCTGTTCGTCTGTACAAGTGACGTTTGTTTGTTTGTTAACCGGAAGTAAAGGAAATAAAAAAACAGAGAAAAGATTTGCTGTTTATAGATTTTTGTATAAATAAAGGCATAGAGGAAACGACATGCATGAAAACAGGAAAAAGTTATAAAGTTATAGGAGTGAAAGAAAAACAAAACAAGGGAAAAGAAAAAAGAAAAGACAAAACTACAGGAAATATAATTTGACAAATAGGAAATGAAATGAATATATATATGAGGAGGAAGAGGAATGATAACTTGAGGAAAACTCATCCAGCAGAAGTGCAGGTGAAAGAAAATAATAAAATTAAGGGAAACAAAAAAAGACAAGAAGTTCACTGCTCAAATCATCAGACGTTTGAGCTCTGGACTCCAGGTGTGTGTGTGTGTGTCTGTGTGTGTGTTCTGTGTTTGAATTTGTTGCTGCAGCCCCCTAAGTCTGAAAGACGGGGTGCGACTGCTGCGGCTGCTGTCTGAGAGGATCGGTCTCGCCGCTGATTCCATCATCAACATCAGGTGGGTCAGAGGTCAAAGGTCAGCAGCAGCTTCTAACCTCAGAGCTGCTACATATCCCCCCCCCCTCAGGAATAAATGAGTTGAAGCTGTTTGTGCTGCATTCACTTTAAAGCTACAACATGTTATTGAACTCACAACACAGATTTATAACTAAACATATATATATATATATATATATATATATATTTTATTATTATTATTATTTTTTTAAATGTATTAACCTGTTAAATGTCTCCAAACAGGAGGCTAAAAACGCCAGAATAAATGTATCCAAATTAAATTAAATGCTCTTTTTGAACCCTTTGGAGTAAATTCAAAAGGTTGATATCTCTGTAAAGATAACACTGATTTTTTTTTAACCATAAATAATGTAACTGTAACACAAAAAACACAAAAATCATAATTTTGTTGTCATCTGATTTTTATTTATTTATTATTTAGTTATGTTTATGCATATGGAGGGAAGGAGTTATGGACTGGACAATTATATGAGGCTGTAGCATCACGTCTTACCTATTACCAGTTCAAATTGGGTGACAATAGCACCAAAGGTTATTTATTCTGGACACAGTTTTATGAGAGCACGTCCACGCATATTTCAAAGTGTCAAAATGGAGCCCAACGTGTCCACAAAATTGGACGCCAACATAATAATTAATTTTCAATTCAATTCAGTTTTTTTATATAGCGCCAAGTTACAAGAGAAGTTGTCTCAGAGCACTGAAGAAAGCCACTTAGTAAAGTTATCTATCTAAGGCAGCATCAGATTGTGTTCAGTCTTCACTTCATCGCAGTCTCCCATCCTGAGCAAGCACAAAGGCAACAGTGGAAAGGAAAAACTCCCTTTTAACAGGAAAAAACCTCCAGCAGAATCAGGCTCAGGATGAGCGGCCATCTGCTTGGACCAGCTGTGGTTTCAGAGGACAGGAAGGAGAGACAATGAACACAGAATGGCAGGTCCAGGTGTACTTTCTATAGGAAGAAAGACAAAACAAACATCATATGGATAGAAAAAGATACAAATATAAAACAGGTAGAGCAGAGTAAGTAAAGACAGTAGCAGAGGAAATGTGGTCAGTTTGTCCAGCAGTCTTAAGCCTCTAGCAGCATAACTAAGGGGATACCTTATGAAACCCAATCCAACCCTAACTATAGGATTTATCAAAACGCAAAGACTTAAGCCCAATATTAAAACTGGACAATGTGTCAGCCTCACGGACAGAAACTGGAACTTGGTTCCACAAGAAAGGAGCCTGATAACTGAAAGGTAAGAACTACAGGAATCATGTTCTATGTCCAGATTTACTGTCAGCATGATTATACAGTTAATTATGAATAAACAGTAAGGAGGCACACAGCAATAAGCACGTACACACACACGTCACCTCCCCCAGCACCACACGCAGCTGAAAACAAAAAGAGCATAATTTCCTGACTTTCTCTAAAAGTATTTACATCTAAACAATATATAAACAAACAGCAGTTCATAAGAGGTTTTCATTTATTTTTGAAGTAGAATATGTTCTGCTGTATGAGCCAACTCTTAATCCGTGTTTTTTTTAAAGAATCTGTTTATATCCTCATGTCTTGCTGATCTGTTTCCTTCTCTGCAGCGTCGTTGGACCTTCTGTCACCTTCAGGATCAGACCAAACTCCAAAAACCTGACGGCCTCCAACGCCGCGGACAGTGCAGGTACCACAGCTTCACTCAGACCAAACTCCCAAAGCCCACGGGGGAATGCTCAGGGCCTTCGGTGTTTTCAGAGAAGGCCCAAGAATTTTTGTTCAATACTTATTTTATATCAAATAAACATGTTCAATGTAGTTTTTCTTTTCTTTTTCTCTCTTTTTTTCTGTAAACTAATTTGCAGTTAGGAAAAAAAAAATGTACTTAATGAAAATATAGTCAACCAGTCAGATTATTTTCCATTTTTGTCTCCGGGCAGAAACAAAAGGAGCTCTCATTGGTTAGGACTTCACTGTCCTTAGAGAAGGCTGAACGCAGTCAGAGTCTCTCCAGGATAAATTTGTTTAATTGCTGACAGGAAAATTGACCAATTAAAATGCTGATATAAAGTGGGTGGGGCCAGAACATGAAACCCTGAGCCTTCAGGAAGGCCTTACAAAGCATTCATTTTTTTTGACCATATGAAGATCTGTAATATAAAATGGAGCTAGGTTGTTGAGGGCTTTGTAGGTTAGAAGTAAGATTTTGAATTCTGTTCTGGATTTGACAGGGAGCCAGTGGAGAGAAGCTAAAACTGGAGAGATATGATCTCTCCCACTAACTCCAGTTAAGACTCTGGCAGCAGCATTTTGGATCAACTGAAGATGTTTTAAAGAAGTATTTGGACACCCAGATAATAAACCATTGCAATAGTCCAGTCTAGACGTGACAAATGCATGGACCAGTTTTTCTGCATCATTTTTAGATAAGATGTTTATAATATTAGTGATATTACGCAGGTGGAAGAATGCGGTTCTAGTAACGTTTTTAATGTGGAGGATAAAAGACATGTCCTGATCGAAAATAGCACCAAGATTTTTAACATTAGAGCTGGAGGACAGATTAATGCCATTCAAGGAGGGAGAAAGACTGAAAATTTTATTCCTAAAATGCTCAGGTCCAAAAACTAAATCAGTCTTGTCTGTGTTCAAAAGCAGAAAATTTAGGATCATCCAGGTTTTTATGTCTTTAAGACATGCTTGTAGTCTAAGTAGCTGATTTGCTTCAGTGGGTTTCATGGACAAATATAACTGTGTATCATCAGCATAACAATGATAATGTATCACGTGCTGTTTAATAACATTACCTAATGGAAGCATATATAATTGTAAATAATATTGGTCCAAGCACTGAACCCTGAGGAACTCCATGACTAACTTTGTATGAAGAAGATTCATTACATTTTGTACTTGAATGAAAGAGATAGTTTGAGCTGCTGAGCCTTCTGGGTAATCCTGGGATGGGAATGGGAGGACCTGTTCAAGTTATATGTTTAGAAGGATTGTCCCTGTTGGTTTTTCTGTTTAATGTTGGGTCAGCATTTATGTTTAGGTTGTTAGTGACTGTAAAAAAAAAAAATCACACCGTAAATCAGATGTTTCACTTGATGGATAAAAAGAGGAGAAGCCTGTCCTATTACTAATTTACTGTTTGGTGTTTTTTAGTTGCAGAGAAGAACTTCTTGGAGTCTGAGACGGGCCTGAAGGTTCTGCAGAGCGGAGCTGAACAGGTGAGATGAGGACTGAAGAAAAACTCAGGACTCACTGACTCTGCTTTTACTTTGAGCTTCCATTTTGAAAGTTTAAGCAGGAGACTTTTTGTCTGAAGGGATGCTCTTTGGTTCCCACAGGTTAACGAGGGGAAGTCGTTGCCCCTGGCGACCAGAGTCCAGCCAGGCTCCCGCTGGGTGTTCGCCACGCTCGTGGCCATGGCCTGCATTGGTGGCATCCTGGTGGCGACCATGACCATCGCTTGCCTCCGTCACCACGCCCACCGGCTGGCGGCGAAGAAGCTGGGCCTGGGACCAGAGGGCGGCAGCTTCAGTCACCAGGAGTACCAGGTAAGGCAAAAGTGCAATAGCTCGTCAGTTTACACGTTTTAAGACAAAACGATCATCTGGTTGGTTTTGTTTTCTGACCTGAATCAAAAAGAAGAAATTTTAGGAGGTGAAGAGGAAATTAAAGCTTGTTCAGATCTCAGTAGTAGAAGCTTCAGGTGTGGGGCCTGAAAGTTAGAAAATTAGAATTAACACTGGAGACTTTAAAAAACTTTTCACCATTCTGTGAAAACCCAACATGAACGCTGACAGCTGAATGACTGCTGAAATCTGCCGAAGAAGCTGAAATGGTGAAGCTCAAAGCTTAACTTTCTAAAAGCTATAAGAAACAAAAGGCTATCCGTTAAAATATAGGTTAATAACGGCTAGCTAAAATATGCTCAATTATAGCTAATAGGCAAAACCTGCAAAACAAAAGTTAAAAACTAAAATTAGCAAAAGGCTAGCTAAAAAGTAAATGTAGCAAAAGGCTAAGTCAAACCTCAAAGCAGCAAAAGGCTAGCTAAAAGCCAAGTTAGCAAAGCTACACATAGCAAAATTTTAAGTAAAAGTAGCAAGTTATTAGCTCTTAGTGAAAACTTAAAAGTAATAAAAGTGTAGTTAAAAGTGTAACGTAGAGCCCGACCAATATGGAAATTTTGGTTATCGCTGGTAGCCAGTATAATGGCTGGAAATTTTTAGCTTTGTCCACCTGCAAGAATCTAAGAAAACAGCGAGTGGAGCAGGGCTTGTTTTTTAGCGCAGCTGTTATCAACCGTGAAGCTAAGCTAATCAGATCCGCTATATGTAGTCCCACAGTAGGTTTACAAGTGGTGCACTGGTCATAAAAATAGTTTTTCTAATGTGCATTTACATTTTCTATCCTTCACTTTTCACCATAAAGTTATCAAGTGCGTTACAAAAGTATAAATTCAACAAAGAAACGCACTTCGTGTTCATTGTTTAAACAGTCTGTCACGTATGGTGAAAGCCTAACTAGTATTAACCGCAGCTGTGTTTTTGTTTTCTTTGTAGAAAAATAATATTTCAGACAAACAATGTATTTCATTGAGGACGACAAAGATAACGTTACCAACACTGATATATTTTACCTCTACGTTAGTTTTATTGTTCTGGATAAAGTTTTACAATAGCCTATGCTAGGTTATCTAAACATTAGCTTGCTAATTTGAGAGGCATGTAACTAATGACAAGCGGGTTGGAGAATTGAAGAGATTTTATTATTGTTGATTTTTTTTTTTTACAGGTCAGTTAAAATAAACTTACCATGCTCTGTTCAGCAAAATATGCTACACAGTATTGCTCCCTGCTTTGTTGTGCTGTATGCGAAAGTGAAACTTAAGTGAACAGCAATGACTTAAAAGTAGTCTTCATACACCCTCTACTGGATACGTTGTACAATTACAGCTGTTTTCAGCATTTTAGGGGTGAAAATTAGAAGTGTTTATATTGGCACATAATGGGAAAATTATCACCGATACCAGTAGGTCCCCAAGCATCTATATCAGACTAAAATATTGGCCCTAGCGATTAGGCCTGTCAAAATAACAAATTTTCCTGGGCGATTAATTGTCTCTGAAATTATTGCGATAAATGATAATATTGTTTGAAATTTGAAAATAATTAGTAATGTCAAATTTAAGAAGAAATGTTGGTTAATTTGTTTTGAGTGTAGTACCTTTTTTGTCCACTGGATGGCAGGATAAGACTGTTTGAACTGAAAGATGGATAATGAAGGCGTGAGCAGTGTGTCCCTTTAAGAAAAATGAGAGGGAGGCACCTTGATGTGACATGGGCTGTCTCTCCTTCCTGTTTTTCGGTTCTCAAAATGGCGGACGCTCGTGGTTTGAGCTCTTTAGCATAGCATTTGTCTTACAAAGCTTTTAATAAAAAAATCAGTAAACAAGTTCCCTTGCTTCTTTTTGCAGAGAAAACAATTTTTTACATGAAGGCACGGATTTCAACTGTGAATTTTGGAGTTTCGACAAGACGGAGGTTTTTTCCCCGAGGTTGGCCTGTTAGCTTAGCTCGTAGCTTAGCTTCTCAGCTTAGCTGCTTTTAATGATCCAAAAACGTGATTTTTGACGGTTAAAACAGATTTTAAAGAGAAAGGGAGGGGACACTGAAGAGCACCACTTTTTGTCATCCAGTGTCTTCAGTACAAAGAAAGAGACGCAAAGAAATAATAAAGCGATTAATTGATTTATTGTTTATCGTGACAGGCCTACTAGCGATATATCAGTAAGGCTCTAATTAAAAGAAGCTAAATGCTAGCTGTATGCTAAAAGTAACTTTTTTCTATTTTACTAATGGTTTAGATAGAAATACATTTTTCATTCATTCATTCAACCTTTATTTAAACAGATAAGTCACAGTGAGCCTCGAAGACTCATTTACAAGTGAGACCTGTTTGGACAGACAATAAAAAGTGGTGAAAAGTAACACATAGGGTTGGAGAGAAAAAAAAATTCCTAACACACTTTTAACCTCTGTTTGAAGGTCAACAGTGTGATAATGAAAAAAAATTGATTTGAAAAATTCACCATCAGATCAAAACAAACAGATCAAGCGTTTACATGTGCACCGTTCAGGTTATGAATTGGCATAAACCACCCGTTTTGTTCTGATCACACATTATTTCGGATCACGCTGAATAAACAAAAAATAACCTGAACAGAGTGTTTACATGACGCGTTTTTATTCCGAACGGCCGTTTGATACGGTTACTTATGTCCATGTAAACATACCTAATGCTAGTCAGGGAGCCAAATTCAGATAAACTGTTTTGGGGACAGAACTTTATTGACATCTACCTTGAGTCTGTGTCGGTCCACTCGGTTCCGAAACGTCCAAATGACCATACCAATGGAACGTGCCTGAGAATAATCCCTGAGATCTGATCCATTCTGCCAAGAGTCTGGGTGCTCGAGGCACAAACCAAACCATCATATAAGGCAGGCAGACTGACCAGGTCCAGATTTGCTGCTGACGACTTCCTTGTTTATTGATAGAACAGGAACCAGCCAAATCCAAAAAGCAGAAACCAGTTATCATAAATCCAATTATAAATGTGTCCTTAAAATCCACAGATGACAGCAGAGATCGTCACGTCATCAAGTCTTCAAAGTCGATGAGATATCCAGCTGCGTGCGTGCCAACAGGGCAAATCGGCTCGCCTAAAGCCTGTCTTCTCTTCAAAGAAATGTTATCAATTGTGTTGAGGGACCAACTGACCAAATCCAAGTCCATAGTTATGATTCGGAAGATTTGTAGCTGCTCAGTCTTTAGAAGACTGTTAGCTTAACGGGGCTGCTACCACCACTTAGCACTTTGCTTTGCAAAAAGCAAAACCAAACTGTGGGCTATAACATTAACAGGTCTCTTTTGTAAATGAGTCCCCGAGGCTCAATGGGACTAACCTGTATAAATAAAGGTTGAATGGATAACAACAAATGCTCCAAAGATTTATTTTTGGTAACAAAAAATAATTTGTTTTCATTCTTTAGTCTTTTACCCTTAGCAACATTTAACATTAGAAACAAACACAAACATTTTATCTTGATTGTTCCTTTGTGAACAAATCGTGTTGGACCATTTCCAAACGTTGCAGCAATGAATTTTTTTACTGAATTATTATAATTTATTGATTTCTTAACTTAAATGTTTGTAAAAGTTGAAAAAAGCTGAAAATACGAGTGTAACGATGCATTCCAAATGGCTCATTAGGACCTGTGCCGCCAGCACATGGCCTCCAAAGGCGCCTTTGGGCGCCTGGAGGCCGCTGCCCTTGGTGCGGTGGGAGGAGCCAGTGGAGCGGGCGGAGGTGGAGGAGGCGGAGCAGGACCAGGTGGAACAGCGGGACCAGGTGGGGCCGACTCCAGGGTGAGCAGCGTGTCGTCCCAGTTCAGTGACGGGGCCCAGCCCAGTCCCAGCTCCCACAGCAGCACACCATCGTGGTGCGAGGAGCCGGCACAGGCCAACATGGACATCTCCACGGGTCACATGATCTTGGTAAAATAAATCTGTGTTCCTTGTTTAATTATGTCACAGGAAGAAATATGACACAAAAACACAAATTATATAGTTTTACCTGAAAAGTTAGTTAAGTTTGTCAGTTTTAACTGAAAGATCATTTATTCAAATGGTTCCCAAACCTGATCCTTGAGGAACACCATCCTGCATGTTTCCCTGCTTTGACATATCTGATTTAAATGAGTGGGTGATTAACAGGCTTCTGCAGAACATGAGGAAGTAATCATATCACTGAATCAGGTGTGTTGGAGCAAGAAAACAACTAAAACATGCAGGATGGTGTTCCTCAGGGACCAGGGTTGGGAACCACTGATTTATTCTATTCTGAACTCTGGATATTTTGATCTGTATTTTTATGAAATGCTGAAATTTACTGAAGAAGCTTAAACTGAGCTAGAAAATCTACCTGAGATAAAATATTAGCTAAAATATAAAAGAGGAAAAACACTCAGAAAAGACAAAGTCTATGTTTATTGGCTGTTCTGTTTACATTTCACACAACATCCAACACTTTCCTAACTAGGGTTATAACACTCTACAAATCAAAAAGTAATTTATTTTTTAATTTTAACCTTGTAGCTCATTTAGATTTAAATTTTATTTTTATTAGAAAATTTGAAGTAAAATTAGTGCAGAACTTGTTGAATCTGAGAAGTTAAAAATTCAAATGGAATTTGCATCCCTCTCTGCTGTGGTTCATCAGCAGAAGCCCCACCCACTTACTAGTTGTACCTTAGCAACTAAACTGGTCAGACACGCCCCCTGACTCTGATTGGAGGATTTCTTTTTATTTTGATGGAGCTTGAGGGTTTTGACTTGACAGTGGCACAGTCACAGTTTAAGTACTTTTCTGTTTTTACTTGTCTATACTTGTCAACATTTCTTCAGCAATTCTCTATTTCTGTTGTTTTTATTGTTTTTGTTTAGAACTTCTTTTATAATTGTCTGTAGAAACCAGTGTTCATGTTTTTCTGGCGGTAAAGGCTTACATGGAGGACCACCTGAGGAACAAGGACCGCCTGATGAAGGAGTGGGAGGCTCTGTGTTCCTACCAGGCCGAGCCCAGCTCCGTGTCTGTGGCGCAAAGCGACGCCAACGCCAAGAGGAACCGCTGCTCCGACTCGGTTCCCTGTGAGCATCAGCCGACGCTTCAGTCCCTTCAGTCAGACTTCAGCTGATTTACTGTCTCAGCACTTATTATGCAGTTTATTTAAATGTGGTCTCAGCCAAATTGTTTACAGTTGAAACATTTTTAACTTGGTAATGGTTTAAAGTAGGAACGCACGATATTGGATTTTTGGCCAATATCCGATATGTTAAAACCTA